TTTTCTTGTAAATTTGTTTGAGTTCTTTGTAGGTTCTGGATATTAGCCCTTTGTCAGATGGGTAGATTGCAAAAATTTTCTCCCATTCCGTAGGTTGCCTGTTCACTCTGATGGTAGTTTCTTTTGTTGTGCAGAAGCTCTTTAGTTTAATTAGATCCCATTTGTCAATTTTCAGCCAGACTAATTCTTATTCATTGATCAAGATTCATCACAAGTTACCTCCTTTGTGAAAACCATCACTGACTCCCAACACTAGAGTAAAATACCTCTCCTCTCTAATCCCATTGCTCATTGCATATACCTATATTGTAGCACTTATCACAGTGTACCATTATTTGTATATATACATACATCTATTTCTAACTAAGCTTTTAAGGAAAAGGAACATTTCTTATGTATCTTTATATTCTCAGTGTCTGAAATCAGTTTGTGGAATAAAAACAAAACAAAAAACAAAAAAAAACCATGGCTGATGTTCAACTTATAGGAAGCTACTACTTTATATGTAAACTGTAACATGTATACTCTATAATCAATTCCATGGGGAAAACATCTTACCCATCCCATTTTTTAGAGGTGAAATGGCCTCCATATTCTCCCTTGGAACACGCAGAGCATTAGTATCTATGTAGTAGGTGGGACCGCCTTGTTTGCCTTTATCGCCATCTATTTCCATTAATGTGCTTCCGTCATCTCTTTCTACCACCATACCAATAGCTGTAGGAAAATCCACCTGTAAGAGTCAGAAATATGATACACAAGTTTCACCTTTTATCAAGGAGGCATTTTTCCCCCAACTAATGTATTTTATTATATTTTGTTTTAAATTAGAATTTCTGCATGACTTTAATTTACATGAATAGCTCTACATATCCAATTAACTCTAACTTTACACTTACCTTGGGGCAGTCCTCACCAGCATAACCAGCTCTCACAGTATAGGATCCAATGTCAAAAACAAGGGCTCCAACTTCATCTGAAAAGATTAAAAGATAATTAGCATTAACAGCTTGCAGAAGTATCACATGAAAATCACAGCTCACTGCAGCCTCAATCTCCTAGGCTCAAGCAATCCTCCTGCCTCATCTTCCAAGTAGCTGGGGCTACAAATGCATGCCAGCACGCCCAGCAAATTTTAAAAATTTTTTTGTAGAGATAAGGTCTCACTATGTTGCCCAGGCTGGACTCAAACTCCAGGGCTCAAGCAATTCTCTGCCTCAGCATCCCCAAGTGCTGCAGGCATGAGCCACTGCACTCAACCCAATTATATTCATATTATTATTCACTTGAACCTAGTTTCAAATACACCTTAAAGAATCATTTAATTAAATGATTTTAATTTACACCGTATTTCAGTAGAGGTTCAATCAGTTAAGAAATGGTACACTAAAACTGGGTAATTTGAGTTTACTTATTAAAGGGAATTATTTGCAAAGATATAGGTGAAATACGGACAACCAGAAGGAACAGTACAGTACCCCAGTACTATAATGATAACTAATAATAATGGATCCATTGCCATTCTTCAAACTGAAGAAACAAGAAGAAATTACTGTTATCAGAATCTGGAGAGAAAGTTGTATGAGGAGGGCTACCTGATAGGAGCTGTGACTTTTAGTAGAGGGGATGCAGTTAGCCATAGATTACCCTGAGGTGAATGAATCAGGCTAATAAATATACCAGTAACCTCCCTCCACCATCAACTAGGGTGATTCTATAATTTATTATCCAAAGTGGGACAACCACTATGGGCAATTTAGTTACATCTACTAAAGTTGAAATTGTGCATACATAGAATTACACTTATTTATTCTGGAGACACTCTCTCATACAGGTTGCAAGGAGACATGTACAAGAATGTTCAACAGCTACAAGAACTGAGCAGTTTATTAACCTCTCTGCTTCAGTTTCCTAACATGTAAAATATACACAATAGCTCTTACCTCACAGGATGCGCTAATGATTAAACGTATTAAATACTTTCATGTATATGAAGTCTTAGAAAACTCACACACTAAATGTAAGCTGCTATTATAATTGACACACTGCTTGCCATAGGAAAAGGCAGAAATAATCTAACGGTCTCTCAGTAGTGAAATAGATAAGCAATAGTATATTCATACAATGGAATCCTGTACAGCAGTTCAAATGAACACTCCAGATCTACATATGTCAGCATCAATAAATCTAAAAGAACGCTTAGTTTTAAAAGCTAGTTACCAAAAAACTATATATGTATACACACACACACACCCCCCTCAAAAAAAAAAAAAAAAAAAGAAAGAAAAGAAAACACGCATGGGGTCTGGGAATGTTACATACCAACTTCAGTTCAGTGGTTACCTGAACTGAAGAAGTGGGGAGAGAGGAAATCTGTATCAATTAACATTTTTATTCTTAAAATATCTGAGGTATTAATATGGCAAAATATGACATCTATTTAATCTCACTGGTGAATATAGTATTGTATTACATACAAACTTATAGTAATATTACCGTAATATCACATACAAACATATATTTATATATTTTTTATGTTTGTATATTTTTAGTATGCTTAAAATATTTCAAAAACTTCTTAAAAATTTTAAAAGTAAACCCATTACTTTGCAAATATCAGTTAAGAGATAGTATCTTTGCAGAATGATTTTTTTTTTTTTTTGGACTCGCAGTCTTGATGTGTCACCCAGACTGGAGTGCAGTGGTGTGATCTCGGCTCACTGCAACCCCCACCTCCCGAGTTCAACTGATTCTCCTGCCTCAGCCTCCCGAGCAGCTGGGACTACAGATGTGCACCACCACGCCCAGCTAATCTTTGTATTTTTAGTAGAGATGGGGTTTCATCATATTGGCCAGGCTAGTCTCAAACTCCTGACCTCGTGATCCACCTGCCTTGGCCCCTCAAAGTGCTGGGATTATAGGTGTGAGCCACCGCACCCAGCCTTTCGTTTTTACTCAAATAAAACAAAGACACATTTAAATTTCTAATATAAAAGAAAGTTTATGTATTTGTTACATTTCTCAAGATAATTAACACAACCCTGTAAAATTCTCTGGTCCAAATTATTTTGTCAGAAACTAGGGGATCCTTAAAAGGAGAACACTGTATTTGTTTTCACCACAGCACCTAAACTTGAGTACAAATGGTAAGTATAGCAATGAACAGGAGTTGATAACATTTAATACTTTTATTAACCAGAATGCTGGGTAAGGAGATATCCTAATTAAATGAATTAATTGTATAGTTAACCAAAAATTTCAACTTCTGTTCCTCAAGGATTTATCTTTTGCCCTGCACTAGGAACCCTTAACCTGTTCTGTGTTATGGACCCTTTTGACTGTGTTGTGGACTGAATTGTGTCTCTAAAATTCCTATGTCAAAATCCTAACCCCTAGTACCTCAGAATGTGACTGTACTTGAAACCAGAGTCTTTATTCTGTACTTTTTTTTTTTTTTTTTTTTATGTTTTGAGAGAGTGTTTCGTTCCTGCCGCCCAGGCTGGAGTGCAATGGCACAATCTCAGCTGACTGCAACCTCCGCCTCCTGGGTTCAAGAGATTCTTCTGCCTCAGCCTCCTGAGTAGCTGGGATTACATCTGTTGGCCACCAAGCCTGGCTAGGTTTTATATTTTTAGTAGACACTGGGTTTCACCATGTTGGCCAGGCTGGCCTCAAACTCCACACCTCAGGTGATCCACTCACCTTGGCCTCCCAAAGTGCTGGGATTATAGATGTCAGCTACCATGCCCAGTGAAACCAGAATCTCTGAAGAAGTAATTAAGTTAAAATGAAATCATTAGATTGGGTCCTAATCCAGTATAACTGATGTTTTTAAGAGAAAATTCGGGCCGGGTATGGTGGCTCACACCTATAATCCCAGCACTTTGCGAGGCAGGCGGGCGGAACAGGAGATCAAGACCATCCTAGCCAACATGGTGAAACCCCAACTCTACCCAAAATACAAAAAATTAGCCGGGCATGGCGGTGTGCACCTGTAGTCCCAGCTACTCGGGAGGCTGAGGCAGGAGAATTGCTTGAACCCAGGAGGCGGAGGCTGCAATGAGCTGAAATTGTGCCACTGCACTCCAGCCTGGGTGACAGAGCAAGTCTCCATCTCAAAAAACAAACAACAACAACAACAACAAAAACACAGAAAATTCAGACTTGGACTTGTACAGAGGGAAGGCCATGTGAAGACAGAGGGAGGAGATAGCCATCTACGCACAGAGAGAGACCTCAGAAGAAACCAACTCTGCTGACACTAAGATCTACCTCTAGCCTCCACAACTGTGAGAAAACTAATTTCTGTTGTTTAAGCCACACAGACTGTGGTACTTTATTATGGCAACCTACAAACTAATACACACAGTTTAGGAAATTATGAATCCCTTCTTAGAATGTTTTTAAATGTTTATAAAAGAAACCAATTATAATAAAATATAGTTCTACCATGGAAACTTTGGGAAGGCCACAAACCCCATGTTAGGAGCCCCTTCCCTAATTTACCCTTTCCTGGATAATATACTGTACTCCTATAGCTTCAACTTCTACCTAAATACTGGTAATTTCAATCTCAAAACTCTCTCTCTCTCTCTCTCTCTCTGTCTCAGCTCTAACCAATGTCTAGATCCATATCCTGAACTTTTTACTGTACAACAACATAATTGTATCTGATGTCTCATGGGTATCTCAAATTCAACACATCTGAAGCACTGCTCATCTCAGCATTGCCTAACACATTGCTGACCACAGTCCACACTGGCAAAAAGCTGAGAGTTGTTGTGAACACCTCCATCTTTCAAGTTCTGCCAAATATTTCTGCTAAGTATTTCTCAAATCCCCTCCTTTTAAATACCATTGCCCCTGCCTTCAATCAAGCTCTTATCTCAACAGGGAAACTACAATTCCCTACAGATACCGTGCCTCCACCTCTTTGCCTCTTAAATCTACCCTTCCAACTGCTGCACTGTGATCTTTCAATATTGTAACTGTCATTATTTTGGTACATAAATCCTTCAACAAAAATAAGGGGGTGAATCATTCCGTGGTTTCTCATCACTGAATTTGATAAAATTTAAATCACTCTAGCCAGTTGAAATTCAAGGCATAGCAATATCTGGTAGCAGTCTCACTTCCTGCCTCATACACTGACTTACTGGGTAATATGTCATCTCCTGAACACACCACATACTCTCAGCTAACCTTTGCATATGTTGTCCCTTTCCACTCCTCCTCCATCATCCCCATTACCTCTATTGTAAAGTCCCTTGACTCCACCACATGGAATCAATAACTTTATTCTCTGAACTACCTTTGCACTATATATATA